GACCAGGGGCAGCACCCTGATTTTCACAGCACTGCACAGGCACCTTGTCCCAGAGGCTGCTCCAGGCCAGCCCCTGCACCAATGACCCCGATTTGCAGAGGGCAATCCCAGAGAGGAGAAACCCCGTGAACAAACACCAAGTCCTCAGCGACTTTAACAGCAATCCTCTGCTCTGAGCCACGCAATGCACAGCTTTGCCATGGGAACTCACTTTTAAACGCTGAAGCACCATATAAACACACCTCAGAGGGATGCGGAGGACAACCAGACCACCACATAGCACGGCTAAGAGGGCTCCAGCGTGGATTATTTTTAATACGCCCTCAGAAGAGGCATTCCCAGCTGCGTGGGAGAGCCCTCCTCGGGGTGAGGAGCAGCCTGGAGCGGGGACACAGCGGGAGGGACCCCGGGGGGGGGTCCCAGCGCTCGGGGGTGAGCTGGGGAAGGGGATGGAGGGAAGGGTGTGGAGAGAAGGGGATGGAGGGAAGGGGATGGAGGGAAGGGGATGGAGGGAAGGGAGGACACGGGCGGGGGTTAGCGGGGAAGGGGAGCGGGACCCCCGGGCTCCAGGCCGCGCGGGAGGCTCGGGAAGGGGATGGAGAGAAGGGGATGGAGGGAAGGGGATGGAGAGAAGGGAGGACACGGGCGGGGGTTAGCGGGAAGGGCAGCGGGACCCCCGGGCTCCAGGCCGCCCTCAGCGCCGGGGTCGCGGCCGCCTCACGCCCCCTGGTCCCGCCCCCCGCCTCTGATTGGCCGAGGCGCGGAGCAGCGGCTCCGCCATTGGCCAGCGGCGCTTCACTCACTGCCACGTCCCGGCGTGCGGGGCACGGGGGCCCGGCCGGGCCGGGCCGCGCCGGGGGAGCCGGACCGTCCGCCTGCGCCCCGCGCCCACCTGGAAGGGGTTGATGTCCACCGGGTCGGCGAACGGGTTGGTGACGAAGCCCGACATGGGCGCGGTCCGCTCCTGCTCCGCTCCCGCCGCCGCCGCTGCTGGCGCTTCCGGGGCACCCACGTGACCGGGAGCCGCGTGACGTCACGGCGGCGCGTACCGCCGCGTGGGGTTAACCCGGTGGGCGTGGCCGCGTGACGTCACAGCGGCGCTTATAGACGGGGAGGGGGGAAGGGAAGGGAAAGGAAAGGGAAAGGGAGGGGAGGGGAGGGGGGCAGGTCCTGCCCGGCCGAACCATGGCGGAGATCCGGGGTGAGCGGGGCACGGGGCACCCACCGCCCGCCGTGGGGATGGGGGCCCTGGGATGGGCCGCGGGGACGGGGACACCCCCACCGGGACCCCCCCGGCGCGACGCGGCGGAGGGCCCGTGACTCGTGCCCCCAGCCCGAGCACCCCAAACCGCCGTGTGATGGTTGAAAATGGTCCCCACAGACACTGTCCCCTCCCAAGCCCTGGTCCTCTCCCTCCCTGACACGCTGTCACCCTGCCCCGGGGGCTCTTGGGGTGTCCGGAGGGGTTTTAGGGGGTTCTTTCTGTGCCCCGCTAACACTTGACTTCCCTCCCGCAGTGTTCCCCCTCTCCTGCGTGGTGCAGAACTATTCCTGGGGGAAGGTGGGCCTGGAGAGTGAGGTGGCCAAGCTGGTGGCCAGTGGTGACCCCCTGGTCCAGATCCAGCCTGACCAGCCCTACGCTGAGGTGAGTGTGTCTGTGTCCATTCTGTCCATCTGTGTCTCCGTCCCATCTGCGTGTCCATCCGTGCGTTCATCCCACCCCGTGGCTCTGCCTCTCACCATCCTGTGTCCTACCAGGACGTGATGCTGACCCTCAGCTGTCCCCTGTCCCCTGGGGGGTGCCTGGCTTGGAGGGAAGCCCGGCATGACTCAGCCCTGAGGGAGCTGCCAGGGATCACCTCCGGGGCCAGGCAGCCTCTGGAAAAGCCCAAGTCATCCGTGCTGGCTGCCCGGCTCAGGGTGCCGCCCTTGTGTTTCTGTTGGTGTCTCGTAGCTGTGGATGGGCACACACCCCCGGGGCGATGCCCTCATCCGGGATAACCGCATCCCCCAAAAGACCCTGGGCCAGTGGATTGCCGACAACCCCGCCTGCCTGGGGGCCAAGGTGAAGGACGCCTTCCAGGGACACCTGCCCTTCCTGTTCAAGGTGCTGTCGGTCAACACCGCCCTGTCCGTCCAGGCGCACCCCAACAAGGTAGGGAGAGTCCCCACGGCCAGCCAGGCGGACCCCGTGTCCCTGGGGAGCTCAGCCAGCTCCTTTCCCCTCTCTGCAGGAGCTGGCAGCAAAGCTCCACGCCCAGTTCCCTGAGCACTACCCCGATGCCAACCACAAGCCCGAGATGGCCATCGCCCTCACCCCCTTCGAGGGCATGTGTGGCTTCCGGCCCGTGGAGGAGATTGTCTCCTTCCTCCAGAGTAAGGATGGAGGAGGGTGCCTGGGCAGACCCTGGAGTGGGGATGGTGGCCATGCTCCCTTGGAATGGGCTTTGGGGTGGGGATGAGGGTCCTGCTCCGTTGGATTAAGGTTTGAGGTGGGGATGGTGCTCTCTTGGGATGGTGTTCAGGGTGGGGATGGTGGCTGTGCTCCCTTGGGATGGGTTTGGGGTGTGGATGGAGGCTGTGGTCCCTTGGGATGGAGCTCAGGGTGAGGGCAGTGCTCCTCAGGGATGGGATTTGGTGTGGGGATGGTGGCTGTGCTCCCTTGGGATGGGTTTGGGGTGTGGATGGAGGCTGTGGTCCCTTGGGATGGAGCTCAGGGTGAGGGCAGTGCTCCTCAGGGATGGAGTTCAGGGTGGGGATGGTGGCTGTGGTCCCTTGGGATGAAGCTCAGGGTGAGGGCAGTGCTCCTCAGGGATGGGATTCGCTGTGGGGATGGTGGCTGTGCTCCCCTGGGATGGGTTTGGGGTGTGGATGGAGGCTGTGGTCCCTTGGGATGGGTTTGGGGTGTGGATGGAGGCTGTGGTCTCTTGGGATGGAGCTCAGGGTGAGGGCAGTGCTCCTCAGAGATGGAGTTCAGGGTTGGGATGGAGGCTGTGCTCCCTTGGGATGAAGCTCAGGGTGAGGGCAGTGCTCCTCAGGGATGGGATTCGCTGTGGGGATGGTGACTGCGCTCTCCTGGGACGGGGGTGCTGCTCTGACTGGGGCTGCTCTCCCCTGGCCTGGGGGACCGGCTGTGAGTGGGGCTGGCCCCACAGATGTCCCCGAGCTTCGGGCGCTGATCGGGGAGGTGGCAGCGGAGCAGCTGGAGCGCAGCGGCAGCGACGACCCCCGCGGGGTCTCGGCCGCCCTCCGCGTGTGCTTCACCCGCCTCATGAAGAGCGAGAAGAAGTTCTTCGTGGACCAGCTGAACATGCTGGTGAAGAGGATCTCCCAGGAAGGTGGGTCCTGGCTGTGACACCCCAAACCAGCTCGGGGGGCTGTGTTTAGGGGAGAGGCTGGGGCAGTGCCAGCCCCCTCCCCACGCTGGGCCTGGTCTGTTCCTGCGCAGTGGCAGAAGGGAAGGACACGTCGGGGAGCAACGGGGAGCTGCTGCTGCGGCTGCACTCCCAGTACCCGGGGGACATCGGCTGCTTCACCATTTATTTCCTGAACCTGGTCAGGCTGGAGCCAGGGGAGGCCATGTTCCTGGGAGCCAACGAGCCCCACGCCTACCTGCACGGAGGTGAGCGTCAGGGGGTTCCTACTCCGGCATCCTGCCAGGACTGGCCCTGGGGACAGGAGGAAGGGCTGGGGTGGGCTGACAGTGCTGCCTGGTCCCCACAGACTGCGTGGAGATCATGGCGTGCTCGGATAACACCGTGCGTGCCGGGCTCACCCCCAAGTTCATCGACGTGCTCACCTTGTGTGAGATGCTCAACTACACACCAGCACCCAGCAGCTCCAAGATCCTCCCGGCGGCGCAGAGCCAGCTCGATCCCCACGTCTACCTCTACGACCCACCCGTGCCAGACTTCACCATCATGAGGATAGAGGTGAGCGATGCCAGCTCCGTGCTGGGGACACCAGCTGGGACAGCCCAGCGCTGGCTGGGGCCTGCTCACCTTTGTAATCAGTGTCCTGGCAAGGAGGGAGGGATGCTTGGCATGGTGGGGCGCTGGTCTCTTTATCCTTCCTCTGTTCCCTCTGCCTGGAGCTTGTTCACCGTCCCCAGCACCTCTGGGCAGAGGGAGAACCGTGAAGAGGTCTTGGGTGTCCTCAGCCAAGCTGAGCTCCTGGGCTTGGGCTGCTGCAGGCACAGCAGAGGGGTGGGAATGGGGACAACCTCCTTCCAGCTCTCCAGAGAGGAGGAAAGCTGAGGGAGACTCCAGCACAGTGACATTTCCCTTGGCAGATCCCTGCCTCCGTCAAGCTGTACCTCATCTCTGCCATGGACTCTGCCAGCATCTTGCTGGTGATCCAAGGGACGGCCGTGGGCACCTCCACAGCCGCAGCCTCCGAGATGTCCCTGCACCGTGGCTCCGTGCTCTTCGTCTCGGCCAACGAGAGCATCTCCCTGCACCTCTCCTCGCCCGACGGGATGCTGCTCTTCCGAGCCTGCTGCCTCCTCTGAGCAGGACCTGGGGCACTTCCTCCACAACACTCCGTGTTCTGAGTAGATAGAAACTGGTGTGGGCAAAGTCTTCTCGCTTGAAAGGTCTCCCTCCACCTATTAAATCCCAAAACCAGCCCTGATGTATAGAAAGAGCAGTTCCGTGGATCGACTCCTTGGTTGTGGTGCAGACCAAAGGCTTTCTGCTGCTTCTGGTGGGCTCTTCCCAAGCCTGGCTGACGGCAGCCAGTGTCCCCCTTCTCTGGCTGTAAAAGGGGCTGTGTGGGGGATGATGGAGTGGGAGAGCCTCTGCTGCTGTGAATAAAGAGATGACTTTGTCCCTGGCGAAGGGCAGCATGGTGGAGGGAGGAGGACGGAGGGGGACAGAGAGGCTGGGAGCAGCTCCAGCACCCTCACAACACTGGCTGTGACCACCTTGCACAGGAAAGGAGTAAAACATGATGAGGAGTCCCTCACACAGGAGTCCCTCTCACAGCACCAGAACCCCATCTGAGTAATGAGATCCAGTTTATTGAGTGCTCCCTTTTAAGAGTAAAATACAAAACCAAACAAACATGCCCTCCCACCCCCAAACCAGTTCGTGTCTTTTGACATGAAATATTTAAATAAGGTTTCTGTATAAGAAGCTGATTGTCCTCTATGTCATAGAGCAGGACCGTGGTTTAAGGCAGCATGTATGGTTTGCAGCAGGGAGGCTCTCCAGCCCCCCACATCCAAGCCCTGGGCAGACCTGGGACGGGGGCCCTGGGCTGTGCCTCACCCGCATCAAAGCAGCGTTGAGGAGAATGGGAATAAGCCATTAGCTCCAACCCCAGAAACTCCCAAATCCTTCCCTTTATATCCCTGTGGAGGTGCCAGGCCCTGCCTGTCCTCCCTTCCCACCCCAGCCAAGTGCCAAGTCCCATCCAGGTCACCCAACTGTCACTGTGCCACCTCCCCCTGATATTGCTGAGTGTAAGGAGAAGTCTTTTGGAGTCAGCTGGTCTCTGCCATGAGCAGCATTGTTCAGTCCTTGTGCCACTGTCCTGGCGTGGGACCCGGACACCCACCAGCATCCCACGGGACAAAGAAAGTGCTGGATTTTGACCTGTTCTTGTGCAGCTACTGGATCACACAGGAGAGATTTTCTCCAAAACAACAGGGGCAAGAAGAGGAGGCAGCAGGTTTTGGGGGGATGAGATCCAGGTCTTCGTCATCAGGGACCTCGTCGAGGTGGTACCCGTCCTGCAGCAGCTGCCGGCTCAGGTCCTGGGTCACCTGCTGCGGGGGACAAAGCAGAGCTCTGCGGGATGGACACACACCCACGCCCTGTGGGGTGATGCTTCCAGCCCCTAGGCAGAGCCTCGAGGGGTCAGGGGAATGGGGGAGCCCCTGGGGACCCCACAGTGTCAGAGTCAAAGCCCCGCACTTGCCTCAGCAGAGGAGTATCCCGAGGAACACCTGGATCCTGGCTCCCCGTCACTGGGGGGAAACAGAAACACAGCTGGCCAGGAAATGGGGTCTTTAGGATGCAGATAAGGGGGATTTGGAGGGGAAAAGGAGCTGGCAGTGCAACCCTAAGGGATATTTGAAATCTGGGCCGACAGGAGCGTTTTGCTGCTCTGAGGTGCCCAGTGCCATCAGGGATGTTCTACAAGTGACAATGAAAATCAACCTCCCCAAAAAGCCATCTGGAAGCACCCCCACCCTCAAAATCACGGGATATTTACCCAAAATCATGGGATACTCACCTGTCTGAGTCGAGGGAGACCAGGTTTTCATCAGCTGTCTGGCTGAGTGCTGTGTAGCCCTTGTTGAACTTCACAGACCTGCCAGAAAACACAGGAGGGAGACCAGCACAGATGTTTTAGATGGAAACACATCCATGGAGCTGACAGGCTGAGGAGCCAGGAGAGGAATCCCACTCCTTCCCACCCAGGCCCTGTCCAGGGCCACCAGCAGCTAAACCCCAGGATATCCCAATAAATCCATACCACCAAATCATCTCCAAAATAAAGAGAAAAGCAGTATATTTTATTATACTGGGCGTTCCTGGCCAAACAGAGCCAGCAAAATAAGGTACCAAACTCTTATTTTTAATCCTCTGACTTTCCCAGTCTCCCCAAGAAAAGTGAAAAACGCATTTTGAAAACAGGAAGAGGGGATCAGACCTTTTAGGAGTTGGTTTCAGGGCAGTGGGTGCCCCCAGCAGCCCCTGCCTTCGCAGCGCTGCCTTTGCCAGCTCCCGCTGCCTCTCTGAAAGCCAAGCACAGGGACACAGAGAAAAATTCCCAAGTGCTCCCAGAGGGTTTCTTCTTCTGGGGAATGGGTCAGGAGGGTGGTGCAGGTGAGCGTGGGCACAGTGCAGTGCTTTCCAAAGGCATCTCTGTGGGTTTTTAATGGGGTTTTATAAAGGTTTTATCCCAACAAAGAAATTAAAGGGCTTTTGGTAACCCCAGCTCTGGGAGAGAGGTGGAAATGACACCCGAAATCCCGGCAGAGACCACCAAGCATCACTTACTCAGCTTGGCCTGAATGGAGGGAGGTTTGCTCATGATGTATGGACCCCTTTTCTCCACCACATCTGCCCCCTTGTTCAGCCTCTTCTTTTCAGCCCAAATCAGCTAAAAAAAAAGAGTGGGAGAAGCATTTAGCACCTCTCCATGAAGATGAAGTAAAGCAGAGTCAACTCGGAGCATCTGATGCTCCTGGGAGCTCAAGGTCAGCAGGGAAATCTTTCCCCAAGGAAATCTGTCCCCAGGGACAGCTCCTCCTCCCCAGCCCGGGAGGAGGGAGAGGAAAAGGAATAAGCAGATCTGATAGCAGATGAAAGGATTATTTGGGAATGGTGATGCTCATTAAAAGCACAGGTAGGCACCATCAGTTCCTGTGCAAGCCTGGCTGCAGTAATACTTGGGAAAAGGTGGTGGAGGAGATTTACTGAGAGCTTAATCAAACACAAATGTAAGGATTGTATGTTTTAATTTGGGGTTTCCAAGCTTCTCCGTTTATCCAGTTATTGTCAAGGAGAACAAATGCTCCTAAGGGCAAGGGGGAGGAAAAAACCTCCACAAAGACAAGAAGTAACTAAGAAAATAGAGGGGAAATCAGAGAGAGTTGGCACAGGAGGGATGTGGAATTAAAGGAACACGGCAGAGGACTGGGGATGGTGATTGGAGAGCACAGCCAGGATTAGCCTCAGTGTCTTAAACCGGAATTAGCATGACAGGGCTTCAAAGAAGGAATGACCAGGCAGGCAGGGCCCCCCCAGATCCCTCTGGATGTGCCATACCCCTTCCTGGACGGCTGATGCTGTGCTGATACACCTCTGTGTGTGTACATATAGATATTTGTATTTATATTTATACATTGTATACAGTACTGTGCCTCCCTGTCTGCAGCTCTGAAAGACGAACTCTCCCACTATTGCTCCTCTACTGCCCCACACACCTTCCCCACACTGCCCCACGGACATACCCCAGCCCCATAACCCCTCTGCACACACCCCACGCTGCCCCACGGACATACATACCCCAGCCCCATAACCCCTGTGCACACACCCCACACTGCCCCATGGACATACCCCAGCCCCATAACCCCTGTGCACACACCCCACACTGCCCCATGGACATACCCCAGCCCCATAACCCCTGTGCACACACCCCACACTGCCCCATGGACATACCCCAGCCCCATAACCCCTGTGCACACACCCCACACTGCCCCACGGACATACCCCAGCCCCATAACCCCTCTGCACACACCCCACACTGCCCCATGGACATACCCCAGCCCCATAACCCCTGTGCACACACCCCACACTGCCCCACGGACATACCCCAGCCCCATAACCCCTCTGCACACACCCCATACTGCCCCATGGACATACATACCCCAGCCCCATAACCCCTGTGCACACACCCCACACTGCCCCATGGACATACCTCAGCCCCATAACCCCTCTGCACACACCCCACACTGCCCCACGGACATACATACCCCAGCCCCATAACCCCTCTGCACACACCCCACGCTGCCCCATGGACATACGTACCCCAGCCCCATAACCCCTGTGCACACACCCCACACTGCCCCACGGACATACCCCAGCCCCATAACCCCTGTGCACACACCCCACGCTTCCCCACGGACATACCCCAGCCCCATAACCCCTGTGCACACACCCCACACTGCCCCACGGACATACCCCAGCCCCATAACACCCCTATTCACGTACCCCACACTGCCCCACGGACATACCCCAGCCCCATAACACCCCTATTCACGTACCCCACACTGCCCCATGGACATACCCCAGCCCCATAACACCCCTATTCACGTACCCCACACTGCCCTATGCTCTCCTTAGGCCCATAGCCCCATGCAGATATCCCACACAGCCCCGCACCCCCAGCACACCCGTACATCGCACGTACCCCCGGGCCCCGCCGGCCGCCGGCTCCGCTGGCAGCAGGACCAGGACCGGGACCAGGACCGGGACCGGGACCTGGCCCGGCTCCGCCGCCGCCCGTCGCCATGGCCGCCCCTGGCCCCGCCCCATGTCCCGCCCGCCAATGGCAGCGCGGGGCTGGCGGGGCTCAGCCAATGGGAAGCGGGGAAAAGGCGCGCCCCTCTGCCGCGCATGCGGGGTAGGAGCGGACAGCGGGACCGGACGGCGGGACGGGGCACCGGGACTGCAGGACGGGGCACCGGGACTGCAGGATGGGGCACCGGGACTGCAGGACGGGGCACCGGGACTATTGGAGGGGCACCGGGACTATAGCATGGGGCACCGGGACTGCAGGACGGGGCACCGGGACTGCAGGATTGGGCACCGGGACTGCAGGACGGGGCACCGGGACTGCAGGATGGGGCACCGGGACTGCAGGACGGGGCACCGGGACTATTAGAGGGGCACCGGGACTATAGCATGGGGCACCGGGACTGCAGGACGGGGCACCGGGACTGCAGGATGGGGCACCGGGACTGCAGGATTGGGCACCGGGACTAAAGGATGGGGCACTGGGACTGCAGGATGGGGCACCGGGACTGCAGGATGGGGCACCGGGACTAAAGGATGGGGCACCGGGACTGCAGGATTGGGCACCGGGACTGCAGGACGGGGCACCGGGACTAAAGGATGGGGCACCGGGACTGTAGCATGGGGCACCGGGACTACAGGACGGGGCACCGGGACTAAAGGATGGGGCACCGGGACTTCAGGATGGGGCACCGGGACTTCAGGATGGGGCACCGGGACTGCAGGACGGGGCACCGGGACTGCAGGACGGGGCACCGGGACTATTGTAGGGGCACCGGGACTGCAGGATGGGGCACCGGGACTTCAGGATGGGGCACCGGGACTTCAGGATGGGGCACCGGGACTGCAGGATGGGGCACCGGGACTATTGGAGGGGGCACCGGGACTGCAGGATGGGGCACCGGGACTGCGGGACGGGGCACCGGGACTATAGGATGGGGCACCGGGACTATTGGAGGGGCACCGGGACTGCAGGACGGGGCACCGGGACTACAGGACGGGGCACCGTCACTATAGGCTGTGCAGAAACCAACTCCTGCTTTCCCAGAAAATTCCCCTCTTCTAGGAGGAAAAGAACAGAATTAACATATTTCCCGTCTCCTCCCACCCACTTCTGTTGGTTTATTTTCTTTCCCAAACCCTTGCCGGGGCCAGGGCTGAGCGGAAACAGGGACAATATCTATCCCAAATAGATCCCTTCCCGGTGAGGACACAAAGCGGCGCCTCCCACCCTCGCCTGAGGCTTTGGACACCATCCCAGAGAAATGTCTCCTCCCCAAAGCTGTGCATACAGAACCATGCGCTCCGCACAGCTCCTCCTCTTCCCCTCCCAGAGCCGCGGCTTGGGAAGGCTCTGGGCATGAGCTTTTCAGAGTAAGTAACAATTCAGAAACTCCTAAGAGCACGTTTATGGTTTTTTTCTTCTTTTTCCCTACAAAAGCAACAGGAAATAACCACAGGAGGCACTGGTACCACATGAGTCAAACCAGTTTTTCCTTTATTAGGCTCAACTCCACGGCACTTCCATTGTGACTCAATAAAGGAAGAAGTTATTTCAGGTAAGATTTAAAGTTTGTCTCTCCAAGTGACGGTGTACAATCTGGTAGCATCAGTAGAACACTTGAGTAATCCACCTAGCATAGAAAATAACGGGAAAAATAAAAAAAGCCATTAAAGAAGCAGCTTAGAATCTCCACAAAGTTTCCATGAGGTCCCAAACGAGATATTTCTATCCCTTTTAGCTTCAAAGCCTTGTTTAACCATGCTCAGCTCAAAAATGCAGGTACTGCAGTCCCAGCACAGCTGATTCAGGACCCCTGGCACCAAGACATTGTAGCCCAGGGCAAGGAGGAGGAAAAGGATTTAAAATATCCAGAATCAAGCACACTATTTGCAGCAGTCTGACACACAGTATATTGTTTTTTTTTAATATTATGCATATATTTACACACAGTATATTATTTTTTTAAAATATTATGCTTAGAATAGAGATTCTAAGCATAATATTTAAGAAAAGAATATGACACTAGTCATCTCCTGAGAAAACTGAGTTAAGAGGCTTCCCTTCCATGGAGATTTTTATTTAGGGCTTTATTTCAGTCTGGGATTAAGGTACATTAGGTCTTGCCTATGCTGTCTTTGCCAGGGGGTTTGGGGTGCAGGACTCCCATGCCAAGGGTCTGGGAAGCAACATCAAACCTTACCAACATGGTTTATGCTTTGTCTAGGCCCAGTTCCTCTGGAGTGGAGATTCCAAGTTCACTCAAAGTTGGTCTAAGCTCCTGGATAACGTAAGGATAGATTTCCTTGTGGGGTCCTGCCTTGTCCTGAAAAAAAACCCAAAAAACAAAGAATGGAGTTACTTCAAAACACACAAAACACTCCAAAGCCTCCCACCCCAGCCAATGCTTGTGGCAGAGCAGAGCTCCTGGCCTCTAGGGCTGAAATAAAAGTCCTGGCTTCTCTTAACTCCCTGGCCAGGCTGGATTCAGGTTTCAAGGCGCTGGTTTCAGGTGCTCCCCAAGAGACCTTTCTGAGTTACTTCTCTCAGTCCCTCAAGAAGCCAGCAAGCTTTGCCACAGATTCTGGCAGCAGGAAAGCGTGGCTGTCCTTTGCAGCAGGAAAAAGCCAGGGAAAACCACCCTGCTTGCCAGGCTCTGGCAATGGGAACAGAGCAGTTCCACCCACCTTTACAACTTCTAGGATGCGGACAGCGCTGGCAAAGTCATTTAACCGTCTGCAGGCCCTCAGAGCCGCGTCGATGATTTTGGGCTCCGGGACCAGGTCATAACCCACCAGTGTGTTTATGCCTGTGGAGACAAGGAAACACCAAGGGGAACTTGGGACCAGCTTGTCATGCTCTCAAAAGGAACCCCTTGTGTCTACTCCCTTCCTCTGTGACAGAAAAAAAAAACCTTCATCAGGCAGGTGCTGCTGGAAGGAGCCTTCTGGCTGCAATTATCTGCCTATGAAATCACATTTTTAAGGCCTAACTGGCCTTAAAAGATGAACTCTCCCACTGTATTGCTCCTATACTGCCCCATAGACATACCCCAGTCCTATGTGTGTGCACACAGCCTATACTGCCCTACAGACACTCCCAACCCCATAATCCCTGTGCACACACCCCAGACTGCCCCATGGACACACCCCAGTCCTACCCCCTTTGTGCACACACCCTATACCGCCCTACAGACACTCCCAGCCCTCTACCACCCCAAAAAATGGAGTAAGTTTAATAGAACTTGGCAACTCCACAGCAAACAACTGGAGACAGCCACACAAAAAGCCTACAGGGAGTTATGGCCAAGCCATTGGCCAAAGTCCGAAGAAAAATGAGCATAGCAGAGCTCAAACACACTTTCCTTGGAGCAAATATTACTCTCCCTCCCATCCAGGTGCTAAAATGATGGAATTGTGGAATGGTTTGGGTTGGAAGTACCTCAGAGATCATCTAGTCCACCATTCTGCCACAGGCAGGGACACCTTCCACTAGACCAGGTTACTCCAAGCCCTCTCCAGCCAGGCTTTGGACACTTCCAGGGACAGGGAGTCCACAAAATGCCAACTAAAGTTGTTATTTCTGGTCACAAAACATCTATTTACTCCAGGTTATGCTTCCTGGTCTTCAACTTACCTTTCCTGAGCTCCCAGGCATCGATATCTGGCTTGTTGAAATATGTCACCCAGCGAGCATCGAATTCTTCATCTGACTCTTGTGACCCATGAGAGTAGCAGCGGGCAGGAAGCACAGCTGAGTGCAGAAAAAAAGGAACAAACTTGGAGCAGAAGGAAGGTAACACTGCTTTACTCCTGACCAAGAGGCCAGAAACCATAAAATATGGATTTCCCTTGTTACAGTCGCTCTGCATCAGTCCTGGATGAGCCCTGGGGGGGATGTAACTTATTAAATATTGTGGTTTATGTTGTAGCAAAATGTCTGCTTTTTTCCACATCAGACTTCCAAAGTGTTCCCAGAGCATTGGTCAGAGCAGGGGAAAGACACACAAAAACTAGCTCAGGATACCAGACCTGAAGAGTCCATTCCTTTTTCTGTAAAATACAGGAATTCTCCCTCTTTCCACAGCCAAGTGAGACTGAGGAGTTTTAACATTCACATTCCTCACCAACAAAATTCCACGCAATTCCTACAGAGGCTCTCAAAAGCACAGGGATGAGAGATATTCCTTCCAACAGAAGGGTTGGAGGAGGAAAGAAAATTATCACTCTGTCCAAGAGAAAACTCCTGGATCTCAAAGTTGTAATTGCATTAATATTTGATAACTAATCACAAAAAGCAGATTGTATGCTAATGCATAAATTAGTCTGATAGGATCATTAATTTGTTTCTTCACTCAGCACCGTCACAAATTGCTGGTTTTTTTGGATGAACCTGTCTTTTTTAACCCCACAAAGGTTGGAACAGTTTTCTAAGGCAACTAAACTGAAGGACCACAAGCCTGGTGCTTCCTTTCCCCACTGCTAATCTCACTCCACTAATATTTGCAGAGAGGTCACACACCAGATACGACCTTGGAGCTCAAAGCTCTGCTTCACAGAAGTCAAATTTAGCTCCTGACTTTTTCTTTCTTAACCCAGCATGAACCACTCACAGCGATTAACCACAGGGTTTTATTTAAAAAAAAAACCCAAACAAAAAAAAATCCAACATCACAACTGGGTTGTGTTTTTGCTGATATACTTCTCTTTGGTTTCATTAATGGCAGCCTAATTAGCAGGCAATTTGCTTTTTTAACAAAACTTAACCCGATCCAACATTTCAGCTGCAATACTGGTTTATGCAATGGAAGCATGAAAATAGCTTTATTTATTTTAGCTATGGAAAAGTAAACAACGGGCAAAGACAGAATTAAAATGCTCTTTTGGTTCCTGTAGGGAAATTCCCCCTCCTTTCCCCAGCTCCAAAGCAGACTTTTGACCCTGCTTCCTGCAACAAATCACCTGCACAGCTGAGCTCAGAGCAAGAGCAGGGCTCTGCAAATGCTCC